AACAGAACGCAAAATCAAAATATTTCTACAAATGAGAGCTATGGCAGAGAACGAGACGTAACGAGACGTAACTTTCGTAGTCGTAATGTAAGGTAAGGTAGAGGAAAACGTAGCTGTCGTGGTCGCCGACCAGTCACAACATTATGACAGCTACGTTTTCCTCTGCCTTATCTTACGTTACGACTACGAAAGTTACGTCTCGTTACGTCTCGTTCTCTGCCATAGCCCTTTCATCTCGTTACCTCTCGTCCTCTGCCATAGCCCTAAAAATGCCATTTGTAACATTTTTTGGTGATATATTCCATAACGGGAGTCTGTTCTATAACCGGAATCCTTTTTCCCTCTTCAATTTTTTGTAAATTACGTTCGCTCTGTATATCCAAGAAACAGAAAACTGTTTAAATAAGCGCTCAAGAAAGTGATTGCTTATCAACTATTGAGTCTTTCTATTAAATTTTTCTATTGAGTCTTTCTATTGAGTCTTTTTATTGAATCTTTTCTATTGTGACGGAAAAATCCGTAATTGATTTTATTTATAAAATTTATTTTGTCAAAATATCTGAGATTTTAATATTCTGAAATGTAGTGCAATGATAGCTTAAATCAATTTAAGTATTGCTTTTTACTTTGTTTTCTTAAGTTTAAAAAACACAGAGTCTAATTTCTGTTTTTATAATAGAAAAGTTTTTATTATACCTACTTAAATAGGGAGGGCTCCGATTGCACACATCGCATATTGCACACATGTATCGCTGATTGGCCAATTTAAAAATAAAATAATCTTATTGGCAAAACAGTAAAAAATTACTAGGCACCAGTTGATATGAGTGATGCCTAGTAATCAGAACTGTAGGCAAACGGGATCCTCCCACTTAAATATGTATACTCAGTTCAAATTAAAATTAAATTTATTAATAAATGAGTTTTAAAATTAGTTTTGTTTATTTTCCCAGTAAACAAACTGACGATGTCTACCATCATTTTGACGTTAAAGATGTTATTTTAATGTCAAAATGGCAATAAGCAATGTCAGCTTGTTTGCTATATTAGAAGTACGATTTAGGAACCAGGTGGTACAATTTAACGACCCGGTCTTCAAATCGTACCGAAAGCTACTTTTTTTTAAAAATCTAATTTAAACAATAATGTAATGTTTATTTTCGCAAAAGTATCGTTTTGTTCTATTGCCAATGAACCAAAGATTAATATAAGTACAGAAATATTCTGATATCTTCAGTACTTTTGTTTACAATATTGTTTAAACGTTAGGGGGTACGATATAGGCGACTTCCCCCTATATTAATAATTCCCCCAAATTTATAATTACATACATCTTAAAATTTGTAAAGATCTTATTGCGAAAAATATATTATTTCAACTGGGAGTCGAACCCGGATCCATTTAAAGAATACGTATTGTATTAGTTAAATATATATCTAACTTTGACCGCCAAGTGGCGTTTGTCGTATTTAGGTGATGTAGTCATTAAAGTCTAACCGAAATCACTTTTTTACTTCCGACCGAAATCGAAAATAAATATTCGATTTTTATTCAATTTCGGCCGAAACCAATCAAACTGAAATTTTTGGATAAATCTTACAAATGCTATATGATTTTTAGAAAATCGTTAAAAAATATCAAAATTTGTGAAGTTTATGTACTCTTTTAAAAATAAGTTTTATTAATATTTCATTATTCCTTAAATTATAAGAAATTTTCCATAAATTATAAGAAATTTTAGGCACTAAACATTGGCGAGTAAAAAAGGATATAGAAGGAATTTAAAGGGAACGACAGTCGAACTTGATTGAGGTTGATGGTACAGACTTTAAATTCCAAATTTGATAATAGTGACATCTTTCATGCATTTCTTATATTTATTGGGTGCTTTTCATTTGATGACACAAGTCGGCACTAGAGTCCTAGATTTATCAGAGAGGCGCAACCGGCTTAAGTCAGTATGACAAAGATGCTAAGGAGAGTACTAAACATGGCCGACTGCCTTTAAACTATGTCAAACAAGATAAGACGTATAGAATAATGTGAGATAGAATGTATAAGATAAAATGAAATAGAAATATGTCACTAGTACTATAAATGGCTGCCAAGTCACGCAATTGGTTAGATTGCAACAGCAACTCAGAATGCATAACACCGGTTGCGCCTCTCTGATAAATCTAGGACTCTAGTCGGCACAAGCATCGTTCTATCCTTGTTGACATTCAGAGAGTGACAAAAGTTGCTTTCCATTTACACACAAGCGAAACTGATAGCGTTTTCGGCCCGATCGGGTTTGCACCAACCTGAGTTGGATTAATCTTTCCTATTGGTTGACGTCACCCGTTCTACCAATAGGAGAGCACAAAATGCCATTAACCCAGATTGGTGCAAACCTGGTCGGGTCAAAAATGCTATGAGTCTGAAGTGCAGGGTTGGTAAAGACTAATGTTTTTTTTTTAAGAATAAAACATATTGTGTTTCTTCTTGAATATGTTTTAATGCTTCAAATATGCTTTAAACAGCACTATAAAAAAAAACATTTAAAACATTTTAAAAACATCAATTAAGCATGTTTTAAACTGTTTAAAACACGTTTAAAACATGTTTTTTACCAACCCTGCTGAAGTGAACTGAGTATTTTATACTCAGATTAATGACGTTACTACTTGCTTACTTTGGTAAAAAGTTATCACATGTCAACACAGGTTCATAACCTTACTTTGAAGTGAGTTTACGAAACTCACTAAAGCACACGGTCTCGATCTTGTGCAGATTATAGGTAAAAACTCAGTTGAATCTCCCTTGTCAGAATGCAAAAGGAACGCGCATTCAACTGAGTTATGACGTCACAAGTGAGAATTATCTGAGAATCGGTGTAAATGGAAAGCAGCTAAAGATAGAACGACACTCGGGGTCGATTCTGTATCTTCAATCAAGATGAAAATTACAAAAGTGAGCAAATTTACTAGGTATTGACCAATGAAATTATCAGTATTCTAGTAAATTCACTCACTTTTGTAATTTTCACCTCGTTTCAAGATACAGAATCGATCCCCTTGTATCGACTTAGGTTTGTTCGCGTCGCATGCTCCAACATACTCCTACCATAGCTCCTAGGCTAGTATTCATAGTCAGATCTTATATTTAAGACCGTCTTAAGTACAGTCTTAAGATGTCATGAACCAATCAGAGGGCCGCATTAGCACAACTTAAGACATTACTTAAGACGGTCTTGAAATGAGAACCGACTATGAATACCGGCCCTACTCTATCAAGCGCGTTGGAGTGAGTAGGAGCTGGAATGGTAGGAGCATATTGGAACGGGTGGCACTCAATTGGACACGAGCCACTCACAGCGCTTGAGACTACAAAGCTCTTAAGCACCGGTCGCTATGATTGGTGATGTCCAATCGAGCCGTGATAAATCGGGATTACCCCTATTGGAACATATTGGAGCATGCGACGCGAACAAACCCCTTTGTGTCGTCTTGTGTCATCAATTGGAAAGCACCATTATATATTGATATTGTTGTGTCATTCAATGCATTCATCTGTCCTTATCTAATAGAGATTTCTATAATCAGTTTGGTGAATGTGTGTGTGTGTGTGTGTGTGTGTGTGTGGACCAAAAATGGCGGATAAAAAGAGGTAACACATATTACTTTCTCGTATGAGCGCATGCGCAAAAAGTGTTAGAATACGTGATAGGCAGTACGTGATAATAAAATAATAATATCTGAAGAAAGTTGCTCGATTGGTCAAATTGTGCAATTGTAATTTGTTAATTTTGTCTTTGTCCGAGATCTCGGAACGATTTCTAACCTCTTTGATTGGATTTTATCCAAGGACATAGAGAATGGACTGCGCGATCCGTGTGTCAAAATGGTCGATAGGGATGAGAGAGAAGGACCGTGGCAAACGGCCATTTCTATCTCTTTCCATTCAGTGGTGTAATGGGAAGAGAGAATAAGAGGGAGATTGGCCGTCTCCCACGGTCCCTCTCTCTCATTATTGTCGACCACATTTAATGCACTATTTAGATACAGATCACGCAGTCCACTCTCTATGTCTTTGGTTTTACCAAAGATGAAAGAGGTTGTACATATAGAGTAGGGGAGCCAGCTATGCGTGAG